AGGTTCATGGGTGGTTATCAGTGGGGTTATGGGGTTCCTTTAAGGGTTCCTTTAAAGGGTTCCATAGTAGGGTTTAGGGTTTAGGAGGTTCATGGGTAGTTATAATTAGGGTTATGGGGTTCCTTTAAGGGTTCCTTTAAAGGGTTCTATAGTAGGGTTTAGGGTTTAGGAGGTTCATGGGTAGTTATAAGTGGGGTTATAAATAGGGTAACTATAGCTAGAACCCGTATCACGGGACTTATAACCCTACTTATAACTAGCCGTGAACCTCCAAGTAGGGGTTACTATACGGGCTTAGGTGGGGAAGCACTCCTTCTGTGTGGGTTTACAAGGGAGCTGGCGTGAGGCGGGCTTCTTCAAAATTAGAAGTAGCTGTTCAGGGGTCCTGACAAGAAGGACCCTGTAGTTTAAGGCCAATATTCGAGTCCAGAAAGTTTGCACATACAGTTCTACCTCCAGCAAAACACGACTTCACTTTCAATTCAACGACCGAGTTCCAGTTACAACGCTTTGCTTTTATCGCAAACCCGAAAATCTTAAGTTACCAACCCCAAACCCCGCAGCCGTGCACCTACTTTTAGGGGCCTGAGTTTCTCAAAGGGGAAACCCTACTACAAACCCAAAACCCTAAACCCCGAAACCCTAAACCCTGAACCCAAAACCCCAAGCCCAATTAGAGTTTGGGGTTTGGACCGTTGGGTTTCTGATAATGCAGCCAGGGTCTGTTAAGCTGTGGGGTTGAGGGTTCAGGGACAATAGAGCTTTATTCGGGTGTTAGGGTCTAGGTTTAGGGATTTAAGGGTTTAGGGTTTAGGGTTTAGGGTTTAGGGTTTAGGGGTTAGGGTTTAGGGATTTAGGGTTTAGGGTTTAGGGCTTGTTCAAGCCAGAAGCATGCCCAGGGGTCCTTGGCATGCTTTAGAGTTTAGGGAGTTCCTGGTATTGCAGGGCGCCAGACAAAACGCGGTGGGACTTGAATGCGCCAGTATGCAGACTGACAAGGGCCCAGCAGTTGAGGGAGGGTAAGTAGGAAGGAGGAAGACGCCACTGCCAAAAGTCAACTCCTGCAGTTATAGAAACACTCACGAAGCCCCATGCCTAGGGCATATGCCAATATCTGGGAATCCAGAAACCGGGCGTGCAAATGTAACCAAGGTCAAAACTCCTTCCCCGGCAGTCCTTGTAACGGAACAACGCGCAGAAGCCTCTGATGGCGTGCTCTCGCCTGGTTAATTCGCTGTGAAAGGCTTCGAGATATCGGGTTGGGAGGTTAATAAGGGTTGAAGCCTGTAGCCTGTAGAGATTACTGCAGGGGCATCTTATACTATGAAATTAAACTCATCATCATTCCCGAAATTATCAGTTCTGGCTCTTGTACCGTTGCAGGCTGAGGAATCTTAAGTCTACGCTGGTACTTATGCTCGGGGCTTCTTACGAACGTCCTTCGGGACCATCTATAATATATATATATATATATAATAATAATAATGATAATAATAGTTATAATAATAATAATAATAGTAATAATAGTAATAATAATAATAATATTATTATTATTAATAATAATAATAAATATATATATATATATATTATATATATAACCATTATGGATTAAGTCCCAAAAACCATCAGAGGGATGGTCTTGTGGGACCAACTCCATAAAGGTGATACATGTGGACCCACTGGTGTAGTAAGGGCCAGACAAAGGCTAAAGGGCCCGCAGAAAGTCGGCATTTGGGGCCTAACGATGTTTTTGTGGGGTCCTGGCCAAATTCCGACTCTGCACGGAAATCGCAAAAAGGAATCCCAACAAAGCTTGAGGCTTGCAAGCATGCTGGTTCGATTACTCTGAACCCCAAACCCTGAAGCCGTCCCCATGAAAACCCTAAACCCTAAACCCCGAACACCTAAATCCTAAACCCATAGACCCTAAACTCTAAACCCCGAACCGCTAAACCTAAAGCCCCTTAGACCCTACACCCCTAAACAATGAATAGCCGAGAGACACGACGCTCCATTGGTCATTGTAGAGATCCCGCATCTGCCTTGGCCGGCCCCGACTTGCGCTATACATTGCCCTAACCTGCCAGGTACCTACTATATAGGGCCCTAGGGGCTGTAGTACCCTATATAGTAGGTACCTGGGGGGTTAGGGTTAGATATTGGGTCTATATGAGATATACGAATTCTTGAATGCCATGTACTATTGCGTCATGTATGGTACTAAACACTATAATTAGACTATAAAGCATATCTTGTATGTTGCCCACTTACATGTTCAAACATATCTTGTCTGTTCTATGGGGTGATATACTTTGTGTGGTCTCTACCAGGGTTGCTTAGCTCGCGCTGTATGCATTTTGCGTCAGGAACCAGGGGAGAAGCTGTAGGTTCATTGCATGTAGAGATTACTACTATCATCAGTGTTATTACTATCATTATTATTACTATTACTATTGTCTTTATGATCATTATGACTGTCTTTGTTTTCAAACTCTATCAGAAATAGCCCCGTGACCTAGAACAGTGCAGACGACACGTAACGAGAGGCCTAGCAGGAACCGAACAAAAAACATGTGGGTAGTTCTCTACATTAGGGTCCCTTTTGGGGGTCCTTTTTATGAGGGTGCAGTACTATATATGGGACCTAAAAAGGGACCCTAATTTAGAGAACTACCCATATCATCCAGCCCCCATGCCCAAGCGCACAGTGACTTCAAACCAGGCTGCTTCAAGATCCAGGCTCCAGTGCTTTCCACGAACCCACCGGAGAAGCATGGCGCAAAGTTACCTCTGCACGAGACGCTTTGGCGGCTTTGGGTTGATGGCTCTGGAAGGGGCACGTAAGGTTTGAGGAGCGTTTTGTAAAGTGTTGCTGAGTGCTCCTTCCACTCTGCTGCCGTACTTCCTCCGCCTCCGCATAATTCAACACAGGCATCACGATCACCATGAGAAGCAGCGTCGCCAGAACTGCCAGCCGCCAGCACCCTCCAGCATCCACTCCACACTCCACATTTCACACACCACCACCACACCACCACCACCACCACCACCACCACCACCACCACCACCACCACCGTGTCCATGACATCATTCTACGTCCCTGCCTAGGTCTTAAGCTGGTACGTAATATCATCGTCGTCTACATCCATGCCTGAGCCTTACAGTATGTACATGATATCGTCTTCTCCTTGCTGTCGGCATAATTATACTCTGTCTGACCACCAAGACGACTGGACAGGAACCTTGAGCTTACCGCCGGGCAGGAAGCTTAGGAAGACTTCCCCTACCCCCCCAGGTACCTACTGTATAGGGCCCTCGGGGCTCCAGTACCCTATACAGTAGGTACCTGGAGGGTTAGGGTGCTGCCGAGGTGCAAATCAGCTTCACTGTCGCCTTCCCTAAACCCTCAACCCTAAAACCCTAGACCCTAAACCCAAAACCCTAAACCCAAATTCTGCCGAGGTGCAAATCAGCTTCACTGTCGCCTTCATCACGGAAATGGTGATGTCTTTGGCGCAGCCCAGCTGTCGCTCCCAAGCCTGCGATGCCACACATAGCAAAGCAGCACCAACGAGGCCTTCATTTGGGTTCAGCTAGCAGGGCTTTTCGGTGCTGAGATATCGTTTAGGGTTCAGGGTTTAAGGTTTAGGGTTTAAAGTTTAGATACAGCCATGGGCTGAATAATTTAGGGCTTAGAGTTTAGGGACAGCAATATCTGCGTGGGAGGGGAAATGCAGCAGGACTGCAATAAACAAGCCTCAAGGTCACGCTACCCAAGGGTCCACATACATATACTTTTTTGAACCCTCAACACTACTGTTGATGATATACATCTGCATTACCTTAAGGACCCCAGACTATGGGAATTATGGTATATTCCGGACTATGGGGCAATGCAGGGTCTATATCATCAACCGTAGCACTTCTGAAACCCTAAAGAAACCCAAGGGCTCTCCTGAGGAGGTGCCGGTCCCAAGGAGAGACCATGGACTCTTAGGGAAAACCCTAAAACGCTAAAGATCGAATCCTTACCCCTACCGGTAGCCGAAAAAAACCTACCTTTTTCCTTATTGTGGTATATATATATATATAGATAGATCGATAGATAGATAGATAGTTCAAAAAAGTGGGTCTTTCCGGCCACAGGTAATTAGTGATCAGATGTACCGAGGTCACATCCTCGTGACAATTCTGCATTCCAATGCAAGAACCTTGCGACACCCGGAGGTGTCCTAGTCCTCCGCACAAAACAAGCGTCTCAAACAGCCACAGCTACACATGTGCAGGGTCGAAACTCAGAAGCTCGATGGACAACTTTATAAATCTCCACTCACCCAACTTTGCCACCTTAAACAACAAAGCAGCAAGCCCTGCAGTTCTAAGCTAGCTAAACCCAAACCCCTAAAGCCCTAAACCCCAAACCCAAACCCTAAACCCCTAAACCCTAAACGCTAAAACCCTAAACCCTAAAAGCCCTAAAAACTCTAAAACCCTAAACCCTAAAAGCCCTAAAAACCCTAAAACCCTAAACGCTAAACGTAAGGTGCACTGTCGGCCGGAAGCGACTGTGCAGGCCCATAGCAGAACATGCTTTGCAGTCTCCGATCCCAAATCTATGGAAGAGCTTCGAGCCTTTTAGGGTGAGGATTTACACGTTTAGGTTTTAGGGTTTAGGGTTAGGGCTTAAAGTGTAGGGTTTGGAGGTTTTGCTTTAGAGGACCAGGGGTTAGGGTTTAGGACTTAGGGTTTGGGGGTTTAGGGCTTAGGGCTTGGGGGTTTAGGGGGTTTAAGGGTTTGGGCTTAGGGGTTTAGGGCTTAAGGCTTGGGGTTAGGGTTTAGGGTTTGGGGGTTTAGGGTTTAGAGCTCAGGGGCCCGAGAGAGCTGCAAGAGGGAGGCCCGAAGCCGAGGTCCGCAGGCTGGATAGTCATGAAGTCATTTTCAGGTGGGTAGTTGGTCTATATAACTTGTGGAAGCCTTATAGAAGCCCTATATACCCTACACTCCCCACCTGAAGTTTCCTTCCATGAAGGGGGAGCTCAGGGAGGGTGGGGACTGGCTAGGCAATCCACCACACGCCTGGGTGTGTTGGGGTGCCACTTCTACATAAGAACCTCCACCGTGCAGCAAGACGTCCAGAATAGGGGCTGAAATAATTGCCTAGACGATTTGGTGGGTTCCTTATTGTAGGCACTTTTCGTAGAATATACCACCAAGCCCTATTCTAATGGTTAAGACCCCTACATTAATCACTCAAGCCTGCAGGCTAACCCTGCACCCTAAACCCTAAACCCTGAACCCGAAACCCTGCACCCCAAACCCTAAACCCGAATCCCTGCACCCTAAACCCAAAGCCCTGAACCCGAGAAACCTTCGCGCTCATGTCAATGGTGTCTCGGACCACTTTTTCACGATTCTCCGTGAGCCTGGGCGGCTAGTAGGGTTTAGGGTTTAGGGTTTAGGGTAGGCTACAGGGTTTATAGGGTTTAGGGCTTGCAAGGTATGCGAATGTCATGCGTGGCCATGTACATAACGACACATGACACAACATGAAAGCACTGCACAAACATGACATTCTTGGCCACCTGAGCGGTGGCACCACTTGAGCAGTGGCCAAGCAGGCAGGACCCTGGTCCCTAAAATATCCCTTTCAGGCCGCAACTCCCGAGTCATGAGGGATTTAATGTAGTATATTTTTTTGGGGTTCCTTATAATTATAAAAAGTATAATGGGCCCCTAAACCCTATTCTAACTATTAAGGCTCCTATATTATGGTTGACGGATGCTACAGGTGGTGCTAGTAAAAGCAGTTACTGTAGGGGACACTGAAACCCCATCTGCCCACTTCCAACTGCCTGCATTGAAACCCCAGATTGTGGGGGTACTTGGAAGATCATGGGACTTAGTAAGTAAGGTTATAAGTCGCTTAATTGGGGTCATAAGTACAGCTACCTTAATTATAACCCTACTTACTAAGTCCTCCGTGGACATTTCAAGCACTTCCTTACTTATCCTTCTCTCCGGACTTTCTCCTGCCAAATACTCCGACACAAAAACGGCATAGCAGCACCCAACCGACCCTGCTTAAGCCCTAACATCTCAACATCCGCAGCTTTCGGGTCCTGAATTCAAGCCTGTGGGATTGCCGAGTTCTCTTCTCTCTGTTAAAAGCACATGTGAGGGTCCAGAAATTCAAAACTCAACTATAGTGGCCTTACAAATTACGGGGTGCATTTGCGACAATGACCCCAAAGGAGCATTAGTACTAAGGCTTCTGCAGTAGACCTTGACAATTGATGCCAAAGCCTGAATCAGTCAAAGGACCAGTGATTGTCGTCCATCCAGGCCAGGTAATCTGTCCAAACTGCTGCCTGCAGCTCGGACAGCTCTGCCTGGACAAGACTGGAACCTTTGAAAGGGCTAGCCAAATTTCTGTGGCTTAGGATTTAGGGTTTAGGGATGGTATGTATGACTGGCTTTCGTGGTCTCATCGGTGTGATATCACTGTAGACCTATTTGTCCCGGTTGCTGTTGGATATGTTGGACGTTAACCTGTTCTAGGTGTTTACCGACACATCTTTCAATCCATGTATGTAGTGTGTAGTGGGGTATTTTCGGAGCGAGTAGGAGTTTCGGCTTTTGGGATTCGGTGGTTTCAGGGGGTCTGACACGCCTTACTTTTAGGGTTGAGGGTTTACCTGCAACCCAACAGACCCTCCTATCTAAGGAGCTATATAAATATATAGAAACCATAATAAGGAACCCTTAAACATCCCTTTGAAAGTAGGTCTTTTTGGCTACAGGCAGGGTTTGGGGTTAAGGGGTTTGGGGTTTAGGGGATACTCCGATTTCATTCAAGGCTTCTGGAAATGGGTGGTTCAGGGCGGCTCGAGTTTTCTGACGTGTGCCACCCCCAATTGTCTCACAAAAACCCCAGATAATTAATAATTATTCTACACTTGTCTCCTCCTGTTCACTTTCTCAGCTTCAGCGAACCAAACACCAGGAGTACAAGGCACAAGCTTGAACAGGGTTTGGTGCTGCGTTGGGTTATTGAATCGAAGACTCGTCCGTTCTCTGGCTTCATGAGATACCCATGAAAGAATAAAGCTGGGACACAGAGAGCCGAACCCCCCAAAACAGCTTAAATCCCGAATCCCGAGGCCTTGTAATTACAAGCATAAAACTGGCAGCCAAGGACGTTCAACAACTTCAGCTGCGCTTCAGCCTCGAACCAGAAACCTCGAACAATACTCTCAACCCAACGCCCCGAAGCAGAGTTCTGGGTGAGCCTTTGGATCAAGTGACGCTTGGCCTTGCATATCGCCCCACTTATTACATGTAGACTCGACTACCACGTCCTTCGAGACACCAAGTAGACATTGTTCCGCCTATGGCCTGATATTACGGGGTGCAAGTGTTGGTCAAAACCCGAAGGACGACGCTCTGTACGAATCGCAATCCTAACACCTCAAACCTTTCGAGAACCCCAGCCCTAATAGGGGCCTCGGAGAAGCCCTTCAAGAATTCTATGGAGCTCCATATAGGGCTCCAGTTACCCAGATAGTGGGTTACTGGGTTACATATTTCTACCCACATGGAGCTCTTGGGGCAAAATCATAAACCTTAACCCCTAAACCCCTAAACCCTAAACCCTAACCAAGCCCCCCCCCAAAATAAAAAATAAATAAAAACACTCTGCGAAGCACCGGGCCTCCTCACCCAGGTCCGTTGAAGGAAAAGCAGTACCCTGCAAACTGCACAGCGCCCAGGCCACCTTCCACCGATCGTTGTAGGTGTTCCTTGGCTGCTCCGCGGACCCAGGCCATTCGAGTGGGATGTGCATAGGTTTTGTAGGCCACCGCAGACTTTTGGTCGTGTTGTTAGAGGTTTGTAACTTAACTTAACTTAACAGTTCGGGTTTCTGGGTTCGGCATTTGGGGCTTTACGGGGTCCAGGATGCAAAGAGGAATTACACTTCTTTCGTACACCGAACCGGTGCTAGAGAATACAGGTCATCTTGAAGGATGTACTGCACGCTCCCGTCTGTCAGAACTGCATCCGAGGCACAGCTTTCTACCTACAAGGAGGGAGCGTACCGCCTCAACGGCAGAATGCTTCAGAGGCTTCAACTCGTGAAGGTCCGGATCGTTGTTAACTTCCTCCAGACAGCCGCACAGTTCCTCGACAATGTCCGGAATCATCTCTCTGTCTGTGTCTTTTTGATCCAAACTTTGAAGCCACATCTTCACCTCAGAGCTTGGTGGAAGGCTCAGGGTCTGTCGGATGTACCTTAACCGTACATAACCTCACTTCTTACGGACTTCTATAAGGAACTCATCGTACGGAATCCTGATAAGGTGGGTCTTCTAGGGTCAGGGAAATCAAGTCATCCATCCCCTACAGGTTATGGTTTTCCTAGGGCGGGGGCTGGGTAGCTGGGTGCTCCAGCAACTGCGCCCGCGGAACCAAACCCGAATTAGTTGGTGGACTTGTATTCAGTCTAACTGTATAACCCTAAACCCTAAGTTAGCAATATAGGGGCCTTAATAATTACCTCTACTATTTTGGGGGGTTCCTTATTAATATACTAATAGAATACATATTCCCCCAAACCCTATTCTAATTACATATTAAGGCCTCTACAGTAGGGAATCTGTATTCCGTATCCAATAAGTTCTTGGTGCCTTACCACGACACAACCAGATCCGGGTCCCTCCAAGTCCCAGCCAAACTTCAAACCTCTCAGAAGCCCCTTAACTTTAGAACCCTAAACCCTAAACGTGGTAGTTTATAAATGACACGGTAATGAATAAAATCAATGGTGCCCTTAACTTCAGAACCCTAAACCCTGAACCCTAAACGTGGTAGTTTATGAAGTAATGAATAAAATCAACGGGTTTAGGGTTTAGGGCGTAAGGTCAAGGGAAGCCTTTAGTGCAAAAGAGTATTGTTGGACAATCTTCGACCCCTGCATCAGACCAGCGAAGGGCGCCTGCAACCCGGCCCTACTCTTAATTGATATAAATCCTGCATTACCTTAAGGACGCTAAAGGGCTCCTTTAAAGGGATTTGTAGGGTTTAGGGTTTCGGGTTTAGGGCTTAGCATTACCTTAAGGACCCTAAAATATGGGAACTGTGGTATGTTCCTTATAATGGGCAATGCAGGATTTATATCATCATCCGTATCACTCGCACCCCGCGCCTTCATACGGATGACCTTCGCCTTGTGTCCCATCCGCGGCTGCCCACCTTCGGGGTATACTACCCTAAGGGTCCATGTACCCAAATAGTATATACTTTGGCCTTAATGTAGCCCCTATTTAGGTAATTTGGGGCCATGGTATATACTATTTGGGCACATGAACCCTTAGGGCTGGTCCCGATACGACATAAAGCCCTAAACCCTAAACTCCTAAACCCTAAATCCTTCAACTCTCAATCCCAAGATGGCTATGCCATACAACACTATGATCAAAACATGTAAGTTATGTATTCACACTACACTCCTATACTGTAGGGTTCCTATATCATGATCATACTATAGCCGACTATAGCAAGCCCCAAAGCCCTATTCCAAGTATGAAGTCCTCTATGTTATATAGAACCGTGGTAGCGGATCCCTTGTAGAACCCATGCAGGAACCCTTCAAATTGACTGACCTTATCCAGCCTAATATAGGGGCCTTAATAATTAGACTAGGGTTTTGGGGCCCATTCTACTATACTTATAAGAAGCCCACCCCCCCCCCCCCAGAAATGGTATTGGTAATTATATATTTAGGCCCCTGTATTATCCAGATGGGTAGTTCTCTAAATCGGGGTCCCTTTTTGGATCCCCAATAGTACGGCACCCTTATAAACGGACCCTAAAAGGGAGCCTAATTCAGAGATCTACCTAAACCCTAAACCCTAAACCCTAAACCCTTAACCCCAAACCCTAAAGCCTAAACTCTAAACCCTAATTTAGAGTTAGTTTTAGCTTTGAGCCCCGCACCTGGAGGCTCGGTCTTGGCATGAGAGGCCCAGTCCCGGCTGGCTTCAGAGCCGGTGTCTTTCACGTCGATGAAGGTGTTCCTTGCAGTTGGTTCGTGACTGTAATGATGCCTAGCATCTTTTCAAGAAGGGGTGGCAAAATCGCGACATGAGTGGGGAGAGAAGGGGCCTCTCAGTTGCACTTAGGGGCTGATTAAGGCTTGTGGTTTCGGGCTTGGGATTTAGGATTGANNGGGGGGGGGGGGGGGACAGTGTCAGAAGCTTTGGAAGAAGTCTCGCCAAAGGTGTCCGTCTTCGAGTCCAAGGCTTGTGGGCTTGGGGCTTCTTTCACGCCTCTATTCAGATAAAATCTGTAATGCTTTTTTGTTTGCTGGCACCTACGGAAGGTCTTTGATTGCTGATTCATAACATCGTTAAATCCAAAACCTCCCTCGGCTTTCGCAACTGCGCATGGCGATGCAAAAGAGCCTTTTGTGACGAACATCTTATTCGACAATTCTGGAAATCTTTTTACTGTAGCTGTTGATATCTCGTATCACTTAGCTGGAGGGTCTAGGAGGGGTCTGCGTATGGCCTAGCGCTTTCGCGAGGTAGTAGCCTTCCACCCCAGGTCCCAAACTGGCTTCAGCGTGGACTGCCACAACAATCCCCAAGCCGCCACGTCCACATGTATCAAGTCTGCACCAGCAAGGCCTGAAAAGTCGCACCCCCAAACCCGAGACCCAAACCCTAAAACCTCTAACCCCA